AAAACAAAACAAAACAAAAAACACTTTTATTAGGTTGGAAAGATGTAGTTTTCCCTGCACTAGGACAGGCCAATCACAGTTCTACCCAAAAGTTGTGGGCAGCACTGATTGGGATCACCAGGAATTATTCTAATCAATTTTACTTTTTTTTTTTTTCCTGAGATAGGGTCTTGCTGTGCAGTTGAGGCCGGCCTCAATCTTGGGAGTCATTCTCCTGCCTCAGCCTCTGGGAGGCTGGGATTACATGTGTTCATCATGTGTGGCTACTCTACATTTTAGTAATAGAAGTTAGTGTGGCAAAGTTAATGTTTTGTGCTTTTTGAGTTAAAACATTTTCAGCCATATGTAGTAATACGTACTAAGACTTAATATTAAATTTTAATGCAATGAAACCAATCAAATGGTAGAGTAATTTAAAGAAACTTTAAAAATATTTCAAGGGAGAAGTTCCTAATGTTTTGACAATACGTTTGGTAGAATTCAGATTGTTACAGAATAGGCTGGCCCAAAAAGCCAAGGTCTTTGTCCCATTCCAGAGCCAGGCTGATACCCCTGGACTCAAGCAAGGGGAAAGCATTCATGGACACTTCTAGGCAGGCCTCTGGCTCCGAGACATGGGAGAGGTAAAATATTTACCCTGGGAGAAGTAGAAGAATTTCAACAGCACAATGACTACATTCAATAGTCAATGTATAAAGTATACTGTTAACCATGGAGTTGCTCAATATTCTTATCAAGTGTAGCAATTGGGGTAAGTTTTTTAAGCAGGAATATGTTTTATATGAATAGTAGTAGGCAGAAAATCAGATTTGCTTTATGGTTCAACTTGGTGAAATTCATGAACTCTGGAATATTGAATAATTAAATAACAAAGATGAGAATTTCAGAAGAAAATATATACAAAAAAGAAATGCTTAAAACTAGTAAAGAAGGGCAGGGGAGACGGCTCAGTAGAGTAAGTGCTTCCCTTGCAAGCACAAGGGCATGAGTTTCAAGCCCCGGTTCCGCCAAAAAAAAAACAAAACCAAAAAACCAAAAAACCAAAAACCTAGTAAAGAATTATTTTTCTATAAACTAGTTAACCTAAATACTTAAAAATGTAATTTTTAGTACTTAATACTTTATGTAAATCTGAAGGCAACCTTGTAAGAGATTATATATTGTTCTCATACATTTGATGAGAAGATAATTTAAAGCTGATAAGTTCAACCACTCCATGGGTGTTGTATAGCTGGAGGATCAACTGAGTCCCAGGCCGGCCTGTGCACCTGGTGAAGTTAAGGCCAGCCTGACCTGCACCGTGAGACTCTGTCTCAAACAAAAGAAAACAAAACAAAACAAAAACCCACAAAACCCACAACCTCCCCCTCAAAAAAAGTTTAAGCAAATAAATCTAGAACTTTTAATGCAATCTCTTCCAGTTTCAGAAGGTATAGAAAGGATCTTGTCCTAGTTCATACAGCTGCTGTTATATACAAATATCTAATCAACTGGCCCATAAAAAAAACTGGCAGCGCTAGGATGTGACAGCAGATGTTGAAGCAGGAAAGAGAAGCTGTAAGAGGAAAAGCTATTTACAAATTTCAAGACCAAATACAATGACTCTTACTGCTTATTTTTTGCACCTAAGTTATACACTTTTTGCCAATTCATAGCAAAACATCTCTAGATTTTTCTCAAAACAACTCACTTTAAAAATTTTTTTTCTCTCCCTAACTCTTGCAGTGCGTCTACTTGTATTATGTTGGTCTAGCATGGGAAATTAAACATGAATTTCAAAGTAGGGCTGACAGGCCTTTCACATAACCCTGATGAGTACACCGACTGGAATTCTTCCACATCTTTTTAGCCAGCAAGTACCACTGTCAGAAAGAAAAGTGCATACTGACCTGGTAGTGAGCTCCACAAAGGGCAGATGTCATCCACTTAAGAGGCAAGACAGCTGTCAGAGCCACATATAAGCATGGGTT